CATGCTAGAATCAGAGCACTGCAGAACAAACTCAACTTCCAGCTCTAAGATCATGAGGAAAAGTTCAGAAATACGAGAAGCAGATATATATGAAAAGTATTCCACATAACAAAAGCAATCCTTTGTGTAGGATTCTAGCTAAACATAAGGGATTTCCTTGCTATTTCCCACACCCCTGGCCCATTAGTCATTCTGCTGAAAGAGTCAAGTTCATCTCACCTTTTTGTTAAATTTCTACAACCAACAGAATACTTTGTTTTAATCAAACACTTTTAGCTATACAGGTTTTCAGAAAGTGTTTTTGTTTTCTGTACTTCATTACCTCTTGCACTAAATACACCTTAAGAATAAGATCAAGCATAAAGGCAGCTCTAGAGATGCAGCCTACTAACCAATAACTGTAATGAGAGGACCATCTAGTGGTGACAACTGTAATTCACGCTCTGCTATTTTTAAGACACATGACAACTCAGTCTTTGCCTTTTTTATTCCATAGCTTAAATCATTAATTTATATTTCAACCTTCTAGGATGAGATTGGATAAATGGATCTGTTGATTGTCTTCATCTGTTCCTGTTATGAGGATATCTTTGTCAATTCTTTCACATGCTATGAGCAGCCTTCACATCAAGTTATTAATCTGAAGCTTCTACGAAGAATGAAGCTGCTAGCAACTAGGCTACAAAATGCATTTGTTTACCTCAATTCTCTATTCAAATAAATCTATAATACTTATTTCTATAATGCCTTTTTTATTAGTATAAGAGACCAAAATTACCAGCTTATAAATGGCAGTTGTACTTTGTATGTTTCACAATTTCATTACATTTCAGTTACAGAGATTGACAATTTAACAGACCAAATTATAACATAAGGGTCTAAGATTGCCACAAACTAGCAAAAACAGGACAGCAAAAATTTACATTGGAGGAAGCTGAGAACATGATACACACCTAATGGGGTTTGTTTCTATATTTTGAACATACCAAACAACTACAGAGACATTCTTCCCCAGCTACCACAGTAACAGAAACTGTGAGAAATCCTCCTCCCTAATGAAACAGCAGAAAGTAGGCACCAGGAGAGGTTTATGTAAACACACATTTAACTACAGACAGCTGAGGGAAGCTTGTTGGAGCTTCATAACCAAAAACAAAACAGTAGTAGAGCACTTGCTCCTAACAGCTGTTCTGCTTAATTTCTGAAAAGCACTGATAGGACTTTAGGTCAAACAATACTCAAGAGAAAAATTTCAGGTAGTTTCTCATTCAAGACAGGCATTCTAAAGACACTAAGTCACTTTGTAAACAAGAACTAAGTTCTATTCCAACACATCCTAAACCAAATTTTATTATGAAAATTGAAAGCTTGATCTGAACAAGTGTCTGCCTCTTCAGCCCCTGTTAGGATCTAGAGGGAACTGCAGGATTTTCAGCAACTCCAAGTTAAAGAGCTGCTGGATTGAAACAGAATTCCCTTACATATTTTTTCTGCAGACTTTGATGCCTGCTTATTTTTTAAAACAAGAGAACATGCTCAAACTTTTTCCCCACAAGATTCTCTACAAAGCACAGTGCATCAGTCAGGAAGAGGCAAACCTCAGCCACCTTCGTCACTGTTCAGCCTTCCTAACAGAGCACTTGGCAATTCAGTTAAGGTTACAGTTGTATTGACCCACCAGACAGCACAGACTGAATTTGCATGTGGGTAAAAAACACAGTATTAATGATTACAGGAGAAATATTAATGCCAAGAGGCAAGTATTTTAGCTGAGGTAAGAGAAAGCAGTAGCAAACAGATCATTTTCCATAATATCCATTGAATTGGCAGGCAACTGTCTGGAACTATCCTCAGGTGAAAGAATGTTCCTGGGGGACATTCAACCTGCTTCCTGACATGCCCACAACATGCTCTCCTTGTACATGCTTTCCTCCTCCTCTTCAAATGCCATTCCCCTTGGTCTGCTTCAGTAGCTCGGCAAACTTGACCTCTGAAGTGCCTAAATAACCTAAGTTACAGCAGTAACAGACAGTAATAAATAAAAAAGCCCTTCCTAAGTTATGCTAGTCCACTTCCAGAGCACAGTCTAGAGGTCAAGCTGTTAGCAAAGCAAGCTCACTGCTGCACACTTCCAGCACTGCCCCCATCATGAATTAACTTCTGCTGAAGGCAAGAAAGACTGCTAGAAGATGTTTGGCAAGAATTCCAGAAAAGGCTGTGGAAGACAGATAGTAAAAAATATTTCTTTACAGACTGGTTGGCTTTCAATTACAGCCCAAACCATCTGCCAAAGATACACACAGATAGTTAGCAGGCCATACCAGGACAGGCTGTTTCCTAAGTTACCAACATTTGATAGACCTCCTTTCTGGCTCACTCTGGCTGGTCTTGCAAGATGGAAATAAAATCACAACACTGTTATTTAGAAGTCTTAAAGAGATAACAGGGTATTAAAGATAACACTTAAAAAAACCCATATATTCACTGCAAAGAGCTAGGGGAAAGATTAAAAGTACAACCTGGACAAGAAAGCTAATCAGACCACATAAAAAGGACATTCAGTCCAGGAAATCTACAAAAATAACATTATTTCATTTCTCCGAAACAACTTTCTCCAGCGTCCATTTTGCCTACTTCTCTGATGATTTGATATATAGCTTAGTAATCTGTTATCAGGTATGCAAACATTAAATGTAATTTTCCTAGATTTAAGTTTTAAACTTAAGAAAGCTTCTGCAGTTTATGATATGAACATGTATTATTTATTACATAATGCAAATCTTTGCCTTCCTTGCTTATTAACTTTTTTGCCACCTCAAAACAAGACTCAAGGTCATTCTTTTTCTACAGCAATTAACATACTAATGCAAACTGCAACACGGGGAAGAAGGAAAATGAAAGCAGCTTGACATGCTGGGGTAGAAGTGCTAGCCCCAGCACTAGAAAACAAGAGAAGATAGCAGAACTTAGCAGAGTCCCCTCTGCTGTTCTTGCTGCTTTGTCAGGATTGGCTGCCATTTTTATCATCCTGGGTCTTGAGAAGTGTTTGGCTGGCTAAGTAGGTTCTGAGGGAAACATTACCATCTCCCTAGCTTGCAAAGATATTTTCTTCATTACATCACTTGCATCCCCCCCAGCTTATGATAAGGCATATGAGACACACATCTGGCATCAAGACTGAGCCGGTGGTCAGGCTTCTACTTGTATCTCCATGGTAAAGAAACATGCACAGCAAAAACCTAGAGTTTATTCTGCAAACCTGTGTGGTGGTACATAGGTATTTGTTTCATCCCTGAACCATTCCCAGACACTCACAACTCCTAGCTTACCATCCCCTCATCTACCATATGAGGAAAGGCTAAGAGAGCTGGGTGTGTTTAGCTTGGAGAAAAGGAGGCTGAGGAGGGATCTCATAAATGTTTATAAATATCTAACAGGCAGGTGTCAGGAGGATGGGGCCAGACTCTTCTCAGTGGTGTCCAGTGGCAGAACAAGGCAGAATTGCCACAAATTGGTAAACAGGAGTTTTAACTTAAATATAAGAAAATACTTCTTTACTCTGAGGGTAACAGAGCACTGGAACAAATTACCGAGGGAGTTTGTAGAGCCTCCATCCCTGGAGATGTTAAAAATCCATCTGGACATGTTCCTGTGTAACCTGCTCTAGGGAATCCTGCTCTAGCAGGGAGCTTGGACTAGCTGATCTCTAGAAATCCCTTCCAATCCCTACCATTTTGTGATTTCAATACATCTGTTACTCCAAGTCCACTACCTGTCAGGAAGCACACCATTCCCTTGTCTCAGATTTAGGAAATTCCATATTTTCTTTCTGCTGTTAACAAGAATACATCCACACCCTATACACTTTTTCCTCAGTATACTCATAGCACAGATACTTTCCCACTCGTACAAGTTGACAGCTTTTCCTGAGGTGATCATGCAAAATTAGTAGGTGAAAATCTCTTCAATCAGGTTTTGGTCAGCTGAATTTAAGCCCAGGAACAAGCTTGTGTTTAGAGTAAGACACTGTACAATTCTTACCAGAAAATTATTAGAGACAGAACTGAGGGAAATTCTTCCCTATGAGGGTGGTGAGACACTGAAACAGGATGAGAATGCCCTGTATCTGGAAGTGTTCCAAGGCAAGGGTGGATGGGGTTCTGAGCAAACTGGTCTAGTGGAAGGTGTCCCTGCCAATGCAGGGGGCTTGGATCTAGATCTTTAAGGTTCCTTCCAACCGTAGCCATTCTAAGATTCTATTATTATCTGCATATATTTGCCATATTGACCTCAGACTTTCTGCCTTGGTAAAGTGCTATCACTCCACCAACAGTTTAGGGACACTACTTGTATAGATGACTACCACTTCCCAATATTCTTGGGTGACCTACCTCTGAAGAGAAGAGATATCATTTATAACAAACCTAAATGCTTCCAAATTGAAACACAAAGACATTCATAACTGTCACAAGTTCAAAAACTACTGATATCTATAAAGCTCATTCAAAATTACAAACAATAAATATTTTCTACTCTTATGTGCTTGCAATCAAAAGCTTTTTTTCAAGTCTGCATTACATAACTTTAAAGACATTTTACATTTCAGGTTCAGAGAACGAAGATGTTAACTTTTTCCTTTGTGGAGGTTAGACAAGATGCAGAAAAGCAAAACAGAATTAAACCATTGAAGAAAACTATTTTAGATGCTAAAATATTTTACACATTGAAGTATTTTACAAGGAAAGAGCCAGGGTTTCTGTGATTTTTTTAAAATCAGCATTATCCTTATAAATCCGTATCTTGTTCAAGATGCAAGGAAACAACTATTCCAAATGTAATATTATTTGCCTTGTTTTAGCTTTATTTTCTATATGCATAAGATAAAATGTACCATCATTTATAGAAATATTGTTTTTTCTAGACAGCAACTTCATGTCACCTTTCAAAATGTAACTGTCCACAGTTAAACAACCAATAAGATTATGCAACAAGAACCTTACCTTTTACACCACCAAACGGACCGTAAGTCATATTACAAGCAGTTCTCTGAAGATTGTGCTCATACATCAGTTTAATCTGATACTGGTTCCCATGTTCCACATTTCCCAAAGTCCCTAGAAGGATTTATGGATATATATTTATACCTTTTATTCATGCAATGTGGAAGGAGTAAAGGAGTAACAGTTTAAGCAACCTGAAAAGCTAACAACTAATGAATCAGATATGAAAGCTCACACTACTGCTTTCAAGAAAATCACCAAGCTACAAAATTCCTAAAGGCCAGAACCAGAAATAAGGTCTCATTATACTAAATATGCTATAAAAGGCTGAGATTTTTACTATTTAAATGTATTTTTCTTCAGATTAAGAACACCTTTAACATTAAAAAAAAAAAAGCCTGCTGCTCAAAAGGGAATTATCTTATGATTCTCTAGTTATTAATTGAAGACACTATAGCCAGCAGCCAGCCTCAGCTGTATTAGTTTTTGTCTCAAATTAATCTGTAACTAGTTATTAGCTATAATTTGACACAGCTATGCTTAGGGCACATTTAGCACTCGCTTTTACTCTGTCTGAAATTCAATGCAATGATAACCAATGCAAAGATAAGAGAAAATATATGTAACAAAAATAACTTTATTATATACATCAAATACTCTGATAAGATCTGCATGGACTTTTAATTTCCTGACTCCTTTAGGGAACTAGCAGAAATTCCTAAAGTCTTTCTAAAGAAACTAGAGCTTCCCTCATGATAAATAAGTCTTTCCTGCACCACATGAAGAAAATCAAGTTCTTCATTGTGTAAAGAAAAACTTTGGGACCAATAGCAAGTAAAAAACCCAAAAAGAAAACAAAAAACTTTATAGTTACACCATCAGGGAAAAGGTGTTCTGAGTGAATAAGCCAAATTCTACCACACATTTAACTATACAAATTTTATTCCAAGACCATCTTAAATAACATGCTATGAAAGATTTGTAGCTTATACTAAACTTCTAGGCAACTTCTCCAACTAAAACCCAATATAGCTTTTAAGCAATTACTCCTAACACAGGCCCACATAAGGGAAAGTATTGGAAGAGACATGAAGGAAAAAGGCCTGGCTGGATAAGTAAGTAGCAACACCAGAGGAAAAGCAAATTAGAGAGCAGTCAGCCCGTGCATACTGACTGCAATACAGTATCCAGGCTGGGCCTAAGATAACTCTCCACGGGATAATTCTGTGTGTCAACACATGCCACTGCTCCTCCCTGTTGCACAGCAAGCTCCACAAAGCCCTTGAGCATCAGCAGTAGCTCTGTGCAGTGCCACAGGGAGCCCTAAGCACCCAGCAGCAAGCACTCTCATGGGAGGCAGAGGGACCAAAAGCAATCTCACTCCAGCCCTGCCTGCACTACATGTCACATTAGGGGGGGGAAGGAGGAGGTGCAGGCAGGGAGGCCAGTGGCAGGAGAGGCCGGGGGGAACCAGCATGAGGAGCAGCTCCAGGCACAGCTCAGCATTAATTTTTTGTATTTCACATTTTACGTCATTGCCTGTATCTCCTCGTTAATTTAAATATTACTTATTAACAAGTCACCAGAAACAGCTGTGGAGAAAGGTGGACACCTTGGATGGCTGAGCCATAGCTCACAATCATCAACTAGTTTAATAAAAAAATTTTGGCAGTGCTCAGGTGCCCAGCTGCCCCCCACCTTCCTAGACACCCCCACTTAAGTGCCACCTCCTTCTCCTCCCTCTAATGTAATATTATTCAGCAGGCAGGGCAGGAACAAGCTCACTAGCAGTCTCCCTGCCACCTCCCATGAGAGACCACTCACTGCCACATGCTCAGGGCCCCCAGTGTCCAGGGGCTTTGTGGAGCTCACCATGTACCAGAGATGACCAGTGGCATCAGCTGAATGCCAGAGAGCTGTCTGATTCTGTGCAGACCAAACTTCAGCTAGCCCTGAAGAAGAAGCAGTATAGTTATTTTATTATGGATAACAGACATAGCAACATGTATAATACAAGTAAAAATCTCCCTTGATGAAAGTGTCATGTGCCATAGAAGCATAAGGAAAAGTGGGCATTATTTCTCAAAGGAGCTTGTTTGAAAGTACCTGTTCAGATGAGCAAAATTACCATTACAGCCCAAGTGCTTACAAACTCATATGAAGAGTCTATTACAGGATTGGAAAACCTCACTTTTATTGTTACTTAAATGCTTAAGCCATGTAGATCAAATAGCAAATTATAACTAGGAAAAATCTAGACTAGTGGCTGCATGTCATTAATTATAAAATAGTTTCAATAAAACTGTACTGCTAGGCTATAATCCTAAGACATAAGCACTGGTGCAGGGAAGGGTTAGTATGAAAACTGCAATACATCTCAAACTATCACCCCACAACAAATAACAATTTTACAAGTGTCTCCAGATAACATAACTAGAAGGCAAATAGAATTGGGAAAGAAAGCATGTGTTTGTAACCTCTCTGCCTACAAGGCTGTAAACAGGAAGCAAGGTGGTCCTATGGGACAACCATGAAAGAAGCCTCACTTGTCCCTGCACAGAAAAAAGAATGTTTTCTATTGAATATTGAGGATTAGGTACAACCAACAGACCTCTTAAATCTGTGCTTTGCTTTAAGCATATATTACCAAGAAGGCATGCACAGAGCAGGTATTTTGTGACTTGCCTCTTTACACACAGAGAACACCGCACTTAGGTTTTATAGACAAAGGCTGTAGAAGAAAGAGGATTTAGTAGTAGTTTCACCATTTTTTTCAGTACTAACCTATCTTCTCTTGAGCTACATTTTCAATGTTCTGGCTTTCTAAGAAATTATATAGATTTCTGAGTTCAGAAATAATTATTGCTGTTTCATTTTTAAAGACCTAATTAAACAACCGTTTGTTCATTACCATGCTGAGCAGTAACACCCACTCCTAAAACTGTAATGAGAACTAGTTGCTCACAAGCACTACCAAACACCATCACACACATCACAGCATCTCAAGCACTGATAGATCAGTAAAACTGTTAACCATTGAGAAATATCTAGACCTAATTACTAATGTTTCCTCTTCACATACAAATTTCCATAAGAAAACATGACTGCAGCTCTTCAGAGGTGACAAGGGAACATTGTATTTAACAAGTTTAGCATATAACCTAATCCAAACTTCAGAATATACTTAAAATTACTGGAAAGCTTGTATCTGTAAACTAACCTGTAACAGCATATACACAGAGTTTCCGGGGATGCAACACAGCCAGATGAAGTCCTTCGGTACCACTGTAAAAAAGGTTTAAAAAAACGACTGTTTCCAGATAAACTCCAAGTAAAATGCATACAGGATAAAATTCAATTATCATGTAGGAATTGCTTTCAAGCATGGGCCAAATCCAAAGGTTTGAGTGTTAGATGGTAGCATAAAATCTCAGAAGTTTCCTTCCTCAACATGCTACAGTAGTAGAAGTTAGCTTCAAAATAAAAATCAACACTTTAAGAACATATTTTCAGGTTTAAGTATGGAGAGCAAGCCAAGAATTTTCCCAGCTTAGCTTGAAATCACTTTCAAACAATTACTTTTTCCAAAAAACAGTGGTCTTAAATCATAACAAGTTACTCAAGTCTTAACATCTAAAAAACCTTTCAATGTAAGTTTTTTCTTGTCTTACATACTTCTATCTGGAAGTATAAGTATCTGGAGGATTACCCTCCCATATACATTAAGTAAAAATTTTCTCAAGATGATTCAGGAAGCAGATCAAATGCATACTGCAGCATTCATAGAAGTGCTTAATAGTTCATCTGGAAATTGAAAACTCACCCCACAAAATAAAGAAAGAAAATCACATCTAAACCTTAAACAGCAATATAGCCTGTTGACTTACGAAACAAATTTTCCCACTTCCAACTGCAATATTGGTTCCTGTAACTGCACTTCCAAGAGCAAGTCTTCAGGTTGTACTTCCTCTCCAGGTTTTACAGCATGTGGACTAAAGATTCTGAGGTATCCCATATAACTGCCCACAATAATTTTATCTAAAAAAAACCAACCAAGACAAAAACACAAAGGTGACTACAGAATACAACAGCAGGTGTAGAATTCAATTTATCACAGATATGCTTCAAAGAATACCCTATAACAATATATACATGATGGAATTGATTTTATGCACTGTCTTCTAGGTTAAGATTAGCTACTAACTTTTCTGTAAATCAGTGAACACCTGTCAGCAATGAGTTAAATATGACAATTATCATGATAGTGGCACTGACCATTGTTACTATTCCATCATTTCAGATTGAAATTCGCTCTTCTTACAAGGTCCCATCATGGTTTTAAAGACTACTCCCAACTTTCAGCTTCTGTCTTGGATTCATGCATACACATACTACACCATTAGAAGCATGAAATTTTAAAACTGGGACAGATTACATTTACCCAAATGCAAACTAAAGCCAGAAAGTTACTACACCAGGTCAACAATGCTAGGGGCCTTGAGATCTCCTGCTCAAGACAAACCCTTTATTTCAAAGAGGAATGCAATAGTTACATGAGTTACTTTGGAATCAATATTTTAAGCAAGTCATCACTTGGTTGTTAATGAATAACAAAACTTAGACTGGATATTGGGGAAAAAAATTTCATAGAAAGAACGGTTAGACACTGGAATAGGATGCCCAGGGAGGTGGTTGAGTCACCACCCCTGGATGTGTTTAAGAGTCATTTGGATGTCGTGTTGGTGGATATGGTTTAGAGGAGAACTTTGTAGAGTAGGGATGGTGGTTGGACTCCATGACCCCAGGGGTCTTTTCTAACCTGAATAGTTCTATGATTCTATGAAAACATTCTTAATAAAATAAACCCCAAAGAGGTGTCTCCCATTATAACAACCAACAACCTCAGTTTGTTGCAAGTACTTATTTCTTCTAGGTAAAGGTCATATTGAAACAAATAATACTTGTCCACAAGTCCGGAGAACACACAAATACTCAAGTGCACCAGGCTCTAAAGGCTTGGCATAGTTCCACAGGACCCCACGTAAAAAGCTAAAGGCAGCTGCTTGCTTCCTCTCCAGCCACAAAAAAACTTGCATACCCAAGTCCCTCACTCAGATAACATCTTCTCCTCAGTTCAGTAAAAAGTAGTCCATCAACAGGAAACTAAATTCATTTTAGTTATTCCTTAAAAATACTTAAATGTAACTGAAGAAGTTTTGACCTATGGCTAGGTCTTTTTTCTTTTTGCAACTAGCTGATTCAGTTTTTGTTCAGGAAGAAGAGCCCAGTCTAAAAACAAAGGGAAAATACAATGTTGAGAAAGTAAATACAATGGTAGACTAGTACTCTCACAACACTATTTAAGTTTTGGTTTTATATAAACTATGTTGTTCTTTTTCTACTAGGAAAAGGCTATACAGAACTCTGGCAAAATCTGGGGGTTTTTGATCATGGGCCAGTCTACACAACACCAGGCCTGCTGGCAACCAACCAGATACAACCATCTCAAAGGGAGAAAAGGACCTTTGCATGAAAGTTAGCAGGAGTCATTGAAAGAGCTTTATACTAGATTTGAAGGAGGAGATAAAACCAGGCTTGCTAGAGATAAGCCTGGGGGTCACAGGCCAACATTGGAGGGACAGTGTGCTAGCAAGGTACTCAGTCTGCTGTCTCAGTGGAGGTAGGGGATGGAGATCCACACAGCAGTAGTGGCTCAAGAGTTACTGATGTGTTAGAAAACACCGAAGTGCCTCGGTACAGCCACATCAAAATTAGGACTTCTCCCACAAAAGAAGGTGGCAGGATCAATAGCCCACCTGAAGTGCATTTACACCAATGTATCCAGCAAGGTCCACAAAAAAAAAGGAAGAGCTGGAAGCCACTGTACAGCTGGAAAACTGATATAGCTGCAATCACAGAACCATGGTGGAATGACTCACACAACTGGAGTGCTACAAAGGACAGCTACAAACTCTTCAGGTAAGAACCATGGGAAAGATCAACAAAGCAGATATCTTGGTGACAATCCATTACAGACAACCCAACCAGGATGAAGCAGCAGATAAAATACTGTATAAGCAGCTGGGAGAAGTCTCATGACTGCTAGCCCTTGCTCTTGTGGGGGGACTTCAACTTTCCAAATGTCTGCTGAAAATACAATACAGTGGAGGGAAAACAGTCTAGGAGGTTCCTGGAGTGTGTGAAAGATAACTTCCTGACACAGCTGATGAGACAACTAGGGAAGCCACCTTGCTGGACCCATTCCTTGTGAACAGAGAAGGGCTTGTGAGTGATGTGTTGGTTGGAGGCCTCCTTGGGTACAGAGATCACAAAGTGAGAGTGTTTTCAATTCTTGGAGAAGTGAAGAAGGGGTTTAGCAGAACTGCTACCTTGGACTTTGGGAGAGCAGATAGAGACAACCAGGCAACCTGGTTGACAGAGCCACTTGGAAGGCAGTCCTGAATGGCACAGAGGTCCAGGAAGGCTAGACATTCTTAAGAAGGAAAAATTAAAGGTGCAGGAGCAGGCCATGCCTGTGTGCCAAAACACTAGCCAGAGGGGAAGAAGGCTGGCCTGGCCGAACAGAAAGCTTTGGCTGGAACTCAGGAAAAAGAAAAGAGTTTATGACATCTTGAAAAAAGGGGCAGGCCATTCAGGAGGACTGCAGGGACGCCATGAGGTTATACAGAGAGAAAATTAGCAGGGTCAGAGCCCAGCTAGAACTCAATCCAGCTACTGCTGTAAAAGACAAAATATTTCTATAAATACATCAGCAACAAAAGGAAGACTAAGGACAATCTCCACCCTTTATTGGATGCAGAGGGAAATACATCAAAGGATGAGGTACTTAATGCCTTCTTTGCCTAAGTCTTCAGTAGTAAGACCAGTTGTTCTCAGGGCACCCAGCCCTCTAAGCTGGAAGGAATTGGCAGCAGAAAGAAGTTTCCAAAATCCAAGGTGAAATTGTTAACGACCTGCTACACCACTGAGACACACGGAAGTCAGTGCGGCTGGGTGAGATCCACTCAAGAGTATGGAGGAAGCTGGCAGAATAGCTTGCCAAGACCCTTTCCATCATCTCTCAGCAGTTCTGACTAATAAGGGAGATCTCATCTTACCGTAGATTGGCAAATGTGACCCCCCCATCTAAAAGAATGACCAGAAAGAGGCTCCAGGGAATTGCAGACCTTTTAGCCTGACTTGGGTTCTGGGAAAGGCAATGGAGCAGATCATCTTGAGTGCCATCACACAGCACATACAGGACAACCAAGGCCCAGTCAGCACTGGTTTATGGAAGACAGGTGGTGATTGACTAATCTCATCTGCTTCTCTGACAAGGTGACCTGCTTAGGGGGTGATGTAAAGGGCCTAGAACAACTCTCCACAGGACAACTCTACACAAATCAGCAGATGCTACTGATGCTCCTGGTGCACAGTGAGCTCTGCAAAGCCCTTGGACCACCAGTGGGGGCTCTGCACCATGTTGTACGGAGGCCCAGGCACATGGCAACAGTCTCTCACAGAGGGTAGAGGGGGACCATCAGCAAGGTCATGCCAGCCACATATATATTACATTAGGGGAGAAGACAGCATACAGGCAGGAGACAAAACAGCAAGTAGGAGTAAAGCAGCACCAGGCCCAGAGTATGGCAGTACCAGCACTGGAGCAGCTGTTCAGACTCAGTGGGAGGCAGTGGGGCAGCTGTCTGCTCCCTGGCTTCCAGAGCCAAATCCTCCTCTAGTTCTCCCCACTCACCCAGCATCCCACTTGCACATTAGCTGGGCACATTTATGCCAGCCAACTTCACTTTTGATGTAGTTGCCTTTATCTCATAATTTAATTTTAATAACTTGATTAACAAGTCACCAGAAACAGTTGTGGAGCAAGGTGGGCACCTCTAATGGCCAAGCCATAGCTCACAACCACCACTTAGTTTAATAAAATGTTTTTTGACAGTACTCAAGCAGCCAGCTCCCACCCCACACCCAGAGTTACAAGAAAGCTACTGGACCCATCACTGTAAGACAGACATTGAGGCACCAGAGCACGTCTAAAGCACAGCAACTGAAGCCCAGGAAAGGTCTGGAGAACAAGTCCTCCAAAGAGTATCTGAGGGAACTGGCGTTGGTTAGCCTGGAGAAGAGAAGACTCAGGGTAGACCTTATCACTCTCCACAAGTACCTGAAAGGAGGTTGTAGTCAGATGGGGGTTGGTCTCTTCTCCCAGGTAAGAAGAGATAAAACAAAAGCAAGTGACCTCAAGTTGCACCAGGGAAGGTTTTGATTAGACAAAAATTTACTGAAAGTGTTCTTAGGCACCAGAACAGGCTGCCCAGGGAAGTGGTGGAGTCACCATCCCTGGAAATATTTGGAAAACATGTAGATGTGGTGCTTAGAGGTGGACTTAGCAGTATTAGGTTTACAATTGTATTCAATGATCTGAAAGGTCTTTTCCAACCTAAGTGATTCTCTGAATTTCTCCTGAAAAAGGCTGTATACCAAACAAGTAAGAGTTCAAGTTCATTCAAATCCTTCTGAAAAGGAACAATCTAAATACAATTAACTTAAGAGTATGGTAATCATGAAAAACTCAATTACCTCCACTGAGCAAAGAGAGCTCCAAGATGAGCAAGAGCATATCAGCAAAAGATCCCAAATATTTATTAATTCAAAACAGATACACACAAGAGCTCTTCCTGACAACAAAGATCATTCCACATAATTACTGCATAAAAATGCAGGGTTTACTCAGACAAAGTCATTCATTTCCATGGTCCCTTATTTTCCAGGCAGAAAAGGTTGTGTTTTCCTAAATTCTTAGCTTATTAGCTCTAACCTTCCTTTTTTCCCCCCTTTAGGTTTTTCCAATGACTTACAATGTGTGCTTACTCACATGACTAATTGAAAATGTTCTACTTAAAATATATTTGCCAGAGGGAATAAGACAGATATTATTACTGAACACAAACAAGAATTAAGATGTTAGGAAATTTACAAATATACAAAGAAAAATGACATTGCATTTGTTTCCTTAAACCTACAAGGACACATAAAAGATAGCAGACTTCAAACTAAAGTAGCCAACTAGCCTAGCTAATAAGCTTTCAATATATACTGGTCAAAGCAAACTTGCACCCATGTGGTTTAAAAGTCAACAGCCATGTAATTCTGAATTTACCTTGCCCACTGCCACTATTATCAACATCAGCAACACACAGGCAGCCTTGGTCAAATTCTTCCTTTTCTCCAAGCAGGGTGGACCACCAGTCTCTAGCTTTAAACAGCGACATTCTCTACTGAAAAGGAAACAAAACATTGTCAGCCTATACTAACATATACACAAGTGTTTATACAAACAACTTGCTTTCTTAGCAACAAACTTTAAGTACATGCCACTTCTTAGCTTCACACTGTTCTGCTATGAGCTGGATAAATGTCAGTTTCAGACACTCTGAGTTCCTGGTTATGTAGCTCAGAAACAACCTGAGAAAATTTATTGTCATTTGTTTACAAGCGAGTTGCAATAGACACTGCTAGTTACATAAAGGAAAAGCCACAACAGCTTCTCTTGAAATTGTTAAAAGCCTTCTGTAACAAACAGCAGGAGAGCAATCGAAGTTTTCAAAGTCACAGAACTGAGATTATCTCTTACCAGGGAGTACGAAGACAAGATTCTGATGCAAATATTCTGCAAGGTAACTAATTCTAGAAGAGCAAATGAAGACATAAACAGACACCATCAAAACCTCCACCCGGTAATCGCCTTGAAGATACCCTAGTGACACGGCTAAAGAACTCGGTCAAAGAGGGCACAAATCAGCTTTTCTGCTCCCCACCTGCTGTTATTTTAAGCAGACAGGCGGGGGAAAAAAGAGAGAGGAGCCTAATCCTTTCGCAGGCGGCTTGACACCAACCTCAGCTCAAAACTCACCTCTCCGTGCCCGCACTCGGCCATGAGGGGGACAAACCCAAACACTCCCGACCCCGGAGCCCGCGGAGGAGCTGAGGGCTTGCGGTTCACCCCAGGAAGAGGGGGAAACGGGGGGCAAACACCCCTCAGCTTCCTTGTGGGGGCAGAGGCACCCGGCGAGCCCGCGCCTCCGCCCCGAAGGACACAGCATCCCGCAAACAAAAACGTTCCATCTCCCCGCAGGCAGTTGGTATCGTTGTGCCGGGCCGGGCAGCCCGGGGCAGCCGAGCGCGCCGGCTTGGAGAATCGCCCCGAGCTGCCTCCCT